AATCTCTTTAAAGCCAAACAATAATCGAACCACTTTATTTTGATGAAATAGATTGGCAAGAAAGAGATGCTCTTTAATCTCTCTCTCTCTCTCTCCCTTAGATGCTACTGCTGCGACCACTGACACTGTGGCAGAAGCTCAATTCCAGGCACTCGTCTTCCAGGTGGAGCTCAACCAGCATGCGCAGAGGACATGCCTCACCACACACCAAGCAGTTGCCGCTAGAAGTGGTGCTTGCCACCGCCAGGTGATGATGATCCAAAAGCTGGACACCAGTGTTGCTGATGCTGCTGCTGCTGCTGCTGCTGCTCTCGTATGCCATGCCGCTGCAGGAGCTTTTCCAGACAATGCAATCCAGATCGCCATCCATCATCAATCACTGTGCTTCCTCAACTCCCTCTAAACTTTTCTCACTGTCTTGGCGAGGGAGTGCTGTTTCACTTGTGATTGAAGAACTTCTTCCACAGCTGCTAGGGCTCCTTGTTAGGTGTTAGCTTTGACCATGTGGTTAACATTATCAAAAGGAGGCTCAAGCATGTTAGGGTAAGGGACTTAACCTACCCTAAGGCTCATAATGGAGCGGCGGTGCAGTGGAGATTTTAAGGTAACTCAGGGGTGGTTGGGTGGTGAGGAATTTCAAGAGAAGGTATAGTATAATTTAGAAAGATTAGATCTTTGTTTTTTTGGGCTGGATCTTAACATTGATATCAGAAGTATACATTTTTTAAGCAAGCTTGTCATAATGGAAAAACACTTTCGAGTTACTTATTATTTGTTCGTGACTTGGGGGATGAAAGCATGTGTGGGGGAAAAGTAGCAATACAAGATTCAATGAGTTTTTTTTATGTTTTTCCATCTAAACTTCCTCATGGGTTGCCTCCATTATAATGTGTGGAGAATGGAATTATGTTGGAGTCGAGAACGCAGCCAATTTACTAATGTCCATTTCGGTTAAGTTATGTGGAGAAGCAAGAAGTTCAATGACAAGTCAAAGAGTTACTTGAGTTTAGATTTATTTAGCCAAGTAAGTCTTTGTTTGGTGCTCCAGTTTTGCTTGTGAAAAAGAAGAACAATTCAATGCAGATGTGTATTAACTACCGTGCCTTGAACAAAAAAATAGTGAAGGATAAAATGCCGATACCGCATATGGATGATATCTTAGACAAACTTGGTGAAGCACGAGTGTTTACTAAGATTGATTTGAGGAGCGGATATCATCAAATTGCAATGGATGATATATCTCTAAGATGGCATTCAACACAAGTTTCAAACATTTTAAGTTTATAATTATGCCATTTGGTTTGATAAATGCACCAGGCACATTTACTTGGTTGATGACAGAGGTATTTGGGCATTATCTTCATGAGTTTGTAGAGTTTTTCTTGGACGATATTTTTGTTTTTAAAAAAAATATAAAAGATCATAAAGTGCATTTGCGCAAGGTTTTTTTTGTTACTTTGTGATAGCAAACTTTATGTGAAGAAGAACAAATATGAGTTTGCAAAGTCAAAAGTGGAATATCTAATCCATATTATGATATTTAAGGGTGTCAAGACAGATCTAAGAAAGGTGGTTGTGATGAAGAATTGACCTACACCAACTTTAGTGGCTAAATTATACAACTTTCTTGGTCTAGCTAGTTACTACTAACGTTTCCAGCATAAGTTTGCAGAGGTGGTTATTCCTTTGATACAATTGTTATGCAAGAATGTGCTATTCAAGTGGAAAAAGCCACAAGAGGAGAGTTTTGTGGTGTTGAAATGATTGTTGAGCGAGGCTCTGGTGCTTCGCATTACTGATCCATCAAAACCTTATAAGGTGACATGCGATGCAAATGGTTATGCACTAGGAAGAGTTCTCATATAAGAGGGATAGCCTATTGCATATGAGAGTCGAATTTTGAATCCCGTAAAACAACATTATTCCCCATATGAATAAGAGTTACTCTTTATTATTCATGCTTTGCGAACATAGTAACATTATCTTTATAGTGCAGTGTTTGTAATGTTGATGGATCATAAACCAATTATGTATCTTTTTGAACAAAAGGAGTTGAACACTAAGCAAGCTCGTTAGATGGTCAAACTCATGGAGTTTGAGAAGTTTATTATTGAGCATCGTCCGGGAAAATCAAACATAGTAGTAGATGCTTTATTTCGTGTTCATCATGTGATAACATTATAAACACAATTTTGTCATTATTTAGTAAAGTGGTTAGTGAGTTTGGGTAGTTAGTTGAGCGTGCTCAAGCTTAGGATGCTGAGGTGGCCTCTTTGCGCAACTAGATATAAGCCCCTTTCTCATAAATGGATGGGATTCTTTATTACAATGGCTGTGTATATTTACTACGAGTGGATGTGTTAATTACTCAAGTTTTATTCCACTATTATGATCGTCCAGAGGCCAGTCATTTTGGAGGGAAGAAAAAAATATGAGTTGATTAAGTGAAATTTTTATTGGAGGAATATGAATGTTGATTTCCTCAAGTATTGTAAATCATGCAAGCTTTGTCAGCAAGTAAAGGTCCCACAGGAAAAGCCAGAGAGACTTTTGCAACCTTTACATATTCCTTAGAGCCATTGGTGTAGTATCTTTATGGACTTCATCATTTGTTTGTCATAAACACAGAGGCAAAAGGAGCAAGTATAAGTCATAGTGGATTGGTTGACGAAGTATGTGTAGTTGTTGGCTCTTTGGAAAATTGTTACTACCTCAAACTTGGCTATAGTCTACTTGGAGAAGGTTTTTTTTTATTTTAGTTTGCCAGAGGACATCATTAGTGATTGAGATTTAAATTTCACAAATGGATTTTGGAAGAGCTTTGCGAAGGTTATGCAAGGGACTTTGAAACTCTTGAGTGGAGATCATCCTCAGATGGATGGGCAAACCAAACATGTGAATCAGATGGTGGAGGATATGTTACATTTTAGCGTTGATCAAAGGCAAAGACAATGGGATTTATATCTTCCATTGGTGCAATTTGCTTACAATAATAACTAACACAATGGAACCAAGCTAAGTCCTTACTTTGCCATGTTTGGAAAGCATCCCTGAATAGCAGTGGAGTTGAGATTGCATTTAAGTAAGGACATTCAAGATAAGCTTGATTCTAAGGTGATTAATCTGGCCATAGAACTTGATGAGATTTTTGGTGGTATACAAATGGAATTTGTAGATAGCTCAGGATAGAGTGGAGAAGTTTGCTAATGAGCATCGCCAATTTTGGGAATATAAGGTGGGTGATCTCATCTTTGTGCGAATGATCTTTCCGTCAAGTGAATAGTAGAACACCTTAGTGCCTTTACGAATAGGGAAGAGTGACAAACTTTCCCATCAATATGCTGGTCTATATGAAGTGTTATAGTGCATTAGTAAAGTGGTTTATTAGGTGCAGTTGCCAACTGGGGATAAAATTCATCCGATATTTTATGTCATTCAATTGAAAAGTGTACTATCTCAGAGTGACAAGCCCAATGCCTCCTTAATATATATGGCTGTGGAAGATGGACCAAGAGCTTGAGCAGTGTTCCCCAAAAAGGGTGATTACAGGTATAACTCGTCCTTGGGACAAGGACTTTGTTGAGGGGGAAGAATTGTTAAGCACCAACTTTGACCACGTGGTTAACATCGGTCAAAGGGAAGCTCAAGGGTATATTAAGGCATGTTAAGGTAAGAGACTTAACCTAAGCAGTGGTGTAGTGAAACTTTTAAGGTAGTTCAAGGGTGGTTAGGTGGTGAAGAATCTTAAGAGAAGGCATAGCATAGTTTAGGAAGACTAGATTGCACTAGATCATAACACTCCTCCCTTTAGCCTTGAATCTAATACGGGAGTTCCAATGGTTCTTGACATCGTTGTCCATTCTCCCAGGAAGTTGAGTAGCAATGTAAGCCCACCTACACAGTGAAGGGAGAGATGTCAATCTGAAGCCAAAAACTTGAGCAAAAGTAAAGTACCTATTTCCAACCAATTCATGCAATTGACAAAGAGTTTCCTCCTCCTGCTCGCTGAATTTTCCATGCCTCAACTCTGGTCTCATCCATCTCAGCCTGCAACTCTTGCCAGTTCTTTGTTCTAAGCTCTCAAAAATAAAAGACAAAACAACAATCCCAATCTTCTGTGATAGTGGAATTAATAAAAACTTGGGCACACTCATGGTTAGTTGCTCGGGGTGGTCACTCTTATATAACCATATATATCATCTGTGTGTACGGATTAGGGTTATTTTGGGTGCAAACCATTACAAGCCTTAGGGTTGAGTTTAATTTGAAAAATTTCATACGTACAGGTAGGGGAGGAGGTGAAGCTCCTCTAGGGCTCTCTAGAGTAGCAAGCTGTAGAGGGCAATAAATTTCACATAGTAGGTATAGAGTGTGATGTTATTGTGTATGTAGAGGATGGGGATCAAAAGAAGCCTGTGGGTTTCATCAGGGTTCAGAAGGAGTGTTCTTATCATCAGCTCTGCAAAGCTATTATTTTAGACGAGATTGAGGGTCTTGTTAAGAGCGATTTTG